TCCAAACTTAATTCCAGGCATCTACCATTTCCCTTGGATTTCTTGTCAGCTGTTGTGATTGACCATAGAGTTCAATGTCAGTGGGCCCTTGCCATACTGTTGTTTGAGAGATCACGTTGATGCTGGAGCCCTCATTCACACTTCAAACTTAGCAAATTAAAGACCATTTTTAGTGTAAATATTTAAAAGTAATACAGATTTGTGATGTACACATCATTTAATTTGACCATGGTGTTTGTTATGTAGATGGTTTACCACCTCACACCTCACACCTCACATACGAACAAGGCTGAAACGCAATCAGATTGTTACGTGTCCTTACATCACCTTAGCAGTTGGCTCTGGGTAGCATTTGTTTTGGAGAGTGAATATGATGTGTCATTAGGGAGGGGTTGTTATTTTGTCGGTGCCCAGCTGTGTTGTTTAGGTAGTACCTAGACAACACATGCACTCGCTTTCTGCGGATGGAACACCTAGGAATATTATACCTGGATAGATGTCCATAACTTAAGTAAAGCAAGTTCAAATTTGATTTAATTGTTGGCATTTTTTCAATATCTGATGTATTCTATCTAGATTTACAGAAAGTCCAATAGTAGACTGATGTGTACCTAGCAAAATGCATAGATAGTTATAAAGATGTCATATTCAAGTGATTTAAAGCTAAGCTCCCTAACATTCATGTTGCCAGGGATGGTATTCCATATGATATCATGAGGATTGTATCTTTAAGCACCGTCTTACAGGTCTTAGCTGATGGCATGATAGATGTGTACTCTAACCAATGTCATCAAAAGGACAATTGAACCCTAGATGATACTTGAGGTTATGTTTCAGGTTGGATTACACCATGTTACAACAAACCCATCACTCATAATTAGACTTCAATGTCGGTAAACATTCAATCCTGTTCTGCTGTCAGTGGAGAAGGGTTCAAAAAGGGGCTCAGGGATTATAGTCAATGTGATTTGTAATTTTTTAATCATTCATACTTTGATATCTGAATATTTGATGTAATGCTGTTGTTGTGTCGATTCAAGAGGCAGGGTTCAAAAAGGGGTTCAGATAAAATACAAAGTGATCCTGCAATCTTTACAGTGTTGTCGATATGTATTTGTTAGTCTGGTTTTACTTAACTAGTGCGATTGAGGGATGCCTAACTCATTAAAACATCATTAAAGTATAGATACACACATAAAGTCAAAGAGATTTATCTTATTCCTAGCTGTTCAACTTTTTATTAGAGTATTTCCTTTTTAAATGTGAATTGCAGAGAGAAGAAACAACACATTTAACCAATAACTAAGAGCAAAAAAAAAAAAAAAAAAAAAAAAAAACAGTAGTTAATTGAGAAAAAAAGACAAACTTTTGACAAGGTCACAGATGGAAGTACTTCCCTATATCCATATATCCACTATTGGCATGAATCACCAAATTTGCATATCCTGTTGGAAATCCAATGAATGTGAAATATTGCTCTCTGTATATGAAGTGAAGGAAAGAGAGGAAATATTAATGGCATATCAAATATACCCACATTACTAGCTGATGTCCTTGGCATTTGGCATTGTGTCTTAATGACAATTACTTTGGCTGCTTCTGTGAGTGTAAACTGTAACTCAAGTAAGGTAAAAAGATGTGGGGTGCTGGGGTAAATTAAGTGGAGCTATCTCTGTAACTATGATCAATATTATATTGATAAAGAATATCAAAAGAAATGTGTTTAAGCATGATGACTCATTGAGGCTATATCTTTCCTTGCTACTGATGAACTTGTGTTTATCTACAGCTGTTTGGCTTTTATTATTTAATTATTTTAAAATGCTTCACATCAGACTGAGAATCAATGTTCACTACATTTTCATAATTTAAAAAAAAATAATTTACTTCAGATGATTACTGTACATCAGATCTATGGCAAACATAACAGTCCTTGAAATGTAATCTAAACTCAAAAAGTAACATGAATTTTATGACGTGTATTACACTTACTGAGCTGCAACTTTGTAAGGAAATAAGAACTAGAAAAAGATCTTTTCAGTGATATAAAGCTGATTAAATGTGACATTTCAAAGCGATACGTATCTCAGATAGCTGCGTGCTTGTGAGATCCAACGATGCTTGCCTTACACTTGTTAGATCGTGCAGCGGAAATTGCAATAAGATCGACAGAGATCACTAAAGTCTCTTTAAGCTCGATGAGAAGATTATCTGCTTCTGACTCTAAGCTCAGAAATATGCTTCAAAACTAATGTAAGGCTCAGAAATAATCTAGAAACGGTTGTCTGTATCCCCACAGCTGTGTCGAATATCCCTAAATGTGTGGGTTGGATAAGGACACAGATTTTTTTTGTTGGTTTCCTTTGAATACCCCCAATTGAACATATCTTCTTCAAACAGATGATATGTAGCAGGTACAAGCTTTACTATTGCTGCACATTATTTTTCAGAATGTGATCTGAGGTAGAGTCATTATTCTTTCCTCCATATAATTAGAATATATAATGTATGATGTCAGGTGTACCGGTAGGCATTCTCATTCACTCCTACACACTTTAGATATATTTTTTAATTGGTCAAATTGTGTGAGTATTCCTATACTCACCAACTCAATTATGACTGAACTGAATGAACTGAATAAAAAGAAAAACGTGATGAACTTGTACCTTCTGTACCTCTTCCATTTCTGAACATAATACTTCAATCAGAAATAAAGAGATGTCTAACCCGTTGTCTGTGGGGATGGAGTGGTTCTTGTATAATATTGGTAGGATAGTGACATAACTCAGTAACCAATGGGTTAAGCAGTATGACCTTTTTATTCAAGTGGTAGTATAAAGTGATGGAATAGAAGGCCTGACAACATCTACTCCAGGCTTTCTTATTTCAAAGAGATATACCTCTAGGGTTAGGGTATGGGATAGAGTTAGTTCATCATAGTTCTGTTAAGTCTATGTTTGACATTCTTAATTTGTTTCTTGTTTGAAATTGGCTGCCGAACAATTGTCGTTGGTGCATGTCTCATTGAACCAGTCTAAGCTTCCCCCTGTTTTTGTAAGGACACTTCAGTCTAGTGACCTCCGAGTGTGGGGAATGAACTCTTGCACTCAAGACAAATTCCCTTCTCTGTTTGAACTAGAAGTTCACCAACTAGATCCTATCCTCTGCCTGCATGAATGATGCTCTTCAATGTGGCAGGGGAAAGAATGATTTAATGATCTGGGAGTAGGCGTGGAGGGTTCAAGAATGGTTTGGTATGACAGACCAAACAGCTGTGTGTTGATGAGACAGGATGATACAGAGCACTTTGTAATGACGCTCTAGGAAACGATGTATATTTGAAGACTGCCGAGGAAACAGTACGTCAATGATGGCTTTCCTTCAGGTCAATCTGGGCTGTGCAATGCCAATTCCATGACTGCGGCTCACTGGGGCAATGCACACTTGTGAATGCATTCGGCCTTCCAATTGTCGTACAGCTTAAGGAATTTTGACCTGGCTGTTCAAAACTAGGGACTTTTGTTTCCTTTCTCTTGCACGCATGTTTGTACTAATCGGAAGTGCTCAATACCAAATAAACAAATGATACGCAAAGCAGAAAGTTTATTTTGATCAGTTACCTCAGTAACTACAATCAAATGGGTTTTTATCATTGAAGTTAGTGAAGTCACAATTTACATTTCTGTTGTATTAACATTGTTAATAAACATGAAGCATGTGGTATAATTAAGACCTCTACATGTCACATACTCTGGCAATGTCAGCTACCATCCCTTTCCCCTTTATTCTGTCTCTTTCTGTACCCATTTTTTATCATTCAATTTATTTCTCTTCTATTGCCATTATATATTGGATGATATTAGATAGCTTAGACAGATACCGAGGTGTGATTGGTCCAGAGCTTGTCACGTGATATCATTTGTGAGGATCCAAATTGTTATATTTTCCTGGCCGGTCACTTTTCGGTGTTATATTAACCAGCTGGTGAAATGAATATATTTTTAATCAATGCATGTCGCCCTCTTGAGGACTGTATGTCACCAATTACACACATTACACCATTACCGAGGGTCATTTAATTTTTCAATATTTTTTTTTCTTAAACTTTTTTTTCCCAAAAAATGCTTTTTTAGGTAATTTTTTTTTTCCCGAAAAATGCTTTTTTGGGTAAGAATTTTTTTTCCCCAAAATTTGTTTTATTTTTTTTTTTCTTTCTTGAACTATCTCGACAGATTATTTTTCCGTAATTTCCGAAAAAAAGGGGAAAAAAAAAAATTTCGGGTAAATTTTTTTGGACCCCCCCCCCCCCCCACACAAAAAAAGGGCTATCTAATATAACAGTTATTGACTGGCAGGGGGTATATAACATTCTTTGGACCTGAAGGGAGTTATATTTCCCCTCGTGACCATATTTTCCCTCAGCGCTGCGCGCTTCGGGAAAATATAACCACTTGGGAAATATAACTCCCTTCAGCGGTCCAAATAATGTTATATTACACCCCCTGTCAGTCAATAACTGTATAATATGATATATTTGTTGTTGCCTTTCTTTCTATAAGACAGACATAATCATACCAATTTTCTTCACCCTGTGACTATCCACCACTGTCATACAACGTCTATACACCCACATCTCTCTGTAGATCTCTCTCTCTCTCTCTCTCTCTCTCTCTCTTATTTCTGTCTATATATCCCTCTCTTTCACTGTCTCTTACTCACTCTCTGTGTCTATCTGTCTTTTGAACCCCCCTCTAAATTATGTTTCTCTCTCTCCCCTCCATCTCTCCCTTTCTATCATTCTCCCCATATTTTCTCTCGCTCTCTCTCTCACTCTCTCTCTCTCTCGCTCTCTCTCTCTCACTCTCTCTCTCTCTCGCTCTCTCTCTCTCTCTCACCCACATCTCATCCATATAGCCTTGTACTAGGAGTCAAACATTAGGAGGAACCCTAGCTTTCATCAAGTTGTCAGGAGTTCAATGTAAATCATGTAAACCACTTACCATAGTCTGCATCGCACATGTACTGCTGTGGGTGAGGCGTATGAGAGCACTGACAGCCCGACACCTTCCATGAATGAAAATCCACAATGAATACGAGGGCAAGAAACAATACAACTAGATGAAGATCCATCTTGGAAGACAAATAGATAATCCAATAGTGATAGATAAAGACCAAATAAAAATGTCCTGGTGTCAATTCTTGTGTCACAAGTAGCTTTGGCTCGGTTCAATGATTTAGTTGAAGGGAACGTTTAGAAAATGTTCAAGCTAATAAGGCTGTACTAGAACATTCTGAATTCTAAAGAATGAGAGAACCTTTAGATGCCATCCACTCGTCAGATTTCAAGGTTTCTACAATCATTGAAATAATTCCCTTCTTGCCAAGTTTTGCAACAATTCAAATCCGTTTCTGGCTGAAATCCACAGATGTCATGACATGCTTTTATTGCGATGCTGTAGGCTTGCTGGCAAAGTTTGGAAATAACTTGTTTCCCTGTGAGCTAGATAATAAGGCAGGCCTGTTATAACATTAAAAGTTCCTTCTGGTATTTTCGTTATTCAGCTGACAGTACACACGTGGAGAAACTTGTGACAAATGCCTTGCAACATTCTTGTTTATATCCTCTCAATTTTTTTTCTTTACACTACTCCACTTGAACACACGCACAATAGTAGCCTCCTACTGGCTTGCACACAAGCTTGAATGTGTATCCTGTGTGTATTCGCAGCATGCAATGTGTGGAGTACTTACTCATGCATGCTCAACAAAGCTATGACATCACTACCTCAATGCCATATAGGGTAATGTAGGAGGAGTATCTGTGAGCAGTGCCTTGTTGCTTTGACCAATCAGAAGCAGTAATGGCTCAGTGCTCACTTCTTATCAGTAGGCCACACCTCTTTCCTGTACAACTCTGTTCTGTCATTGGTGTATTGTTGTTATTACTGTATGTGATACCAATGTGGGATTCCATATTAGGCTTTTAATTCCCACTCTCCCTTACACTTCTGGGAAGTGGAGCTTGTATTGTTTCATGACCTGTGTGTGTTTTTTTTTTAGTTTCTATGATACCTTCACAAATAATAAAGAAGTCACATTTTGTTTCTCACAGATTTGATATAAATTCCTCATCTACTATAAGACCTTCATAAAAAGCTTCATACAAATTCATGAATCTACTTCTTTTCTTGAAAGGGGGTCACTTTTTGAGGCAGCTGAAGAAAAAGAAGTGTTACCTGCATTTGAGAAAATATGTTAAGTACTTGTTTTACTTTTTAAATTCAAAATTTTCCTTTGAAATTTGTTTGAAATATGGGCACAAACAAAAGTGATATTGAGTTTGTGTAAAGATGGAAAATATCTATGTAAGTGAATGCAAGTAGCACTGAACATTAAAGAGACTACTGTTTTATAGCTTAGAATGGAGCAAAGTTGATATGGAAGTCATGTTCATTTTCAGTATTTTGGGGTAATTTTTTCTCTTCATATTTTGTAGGTCCAAACAACTCATCTGCTGCAAGATATACAATTTATAATTACTACAAATTTGTTTCTTTTGCCATTTACCGGTAATCCATTACCTGACTCAAGATTTGCTTAAATGCGAGGTAAATCCATGTAGCATTGAGGAAGACATGTTTTCCAAATTGTCATGAACACGATAGCAACACAGTTATTTTGTTGTGGTTTTTGTGGTGGATATATGTGTATCCGTCTGAAATTTCACTCTTTTCGGAACATTTCTCTTAATGAATATAAAAAAACCTATAACCCAAGAGATGCTTCTCCAAATAGCTAGTATATCTTCCAGAAGTGCCCCTAATACAATGTATCCATTGAATACACTTTTAAATGAGGCCAATCCAATAAATTCCCATCTGTGATTTTTCAGAATGCAGTGATGTGACAAAATACCTTCCGTATGTTTTTCCTTCCTTCCTTCCTTTCATTCTACCAATGTGATGAAATATAAATAAACTTGTGTGTCTTTTAACTAAATGTATAAGTCTCACTTTTTAGCTCTTTTGCAAGTTTAGCTGCAGCTGCCGATCTCATAAATACTGGTATGGTTGTTCATTATTTCAATTTTCATAGCTTTGGTTTCTTTGACTATTACCCTTTTCTAACTGCACTCTATCGGAGTCACACCGATGAAATACCGATTGAATTTTCCTTATGTAAACAAAGGTGAAACCGCAGTTTTCCCCCTGTTGCTTTCTAACTGCCGGTGAAATTCTCTCGCTGTGGCGAGCCCATGCCGGAAGTGAAGAATTATTGCGTAATTATTAAGCCCGCGCTCCATCTAGCTAGCATGCAGCATGTTCAACCATAAGTCAACAAACACAGCTGGTTACGATAAAGCGCGCGTATACTGCGACCATTGACCATTTTAATCGCTGTTTTAATCGCCTTTTTCTCCCGAACGTTTTCTAACTGCACGTTTCATCGGTGTACGGTGCACGTTTCATCGGTGTCACACCGATAGAATGAGAATTTCTCCTGCTCTTGAGCAGGAGAATTTAATCGCCTATTTCTCTTCTTTTCATCGGCTATTTAATCGCCTTTTTCTCCTCTGTAGCTTTCTAACTGCCACTTTCATCAGATGCGTCCGGATGCATCCGATGAAAATCGGTGCAGTTAGAAAAGGGTATATGTCATCATGACTTTGCAGTGCTACCACACTAAATTCTTGTGCAAGAAATAAGAACATATTGTTTTTTTTAATGATGCTATTGTCCCATTTTCATGGATATAATCAAAGGCCTCTTTTCAATGTGGGAGGATCGGGGTCAAAATGGTCAGAGTCCTAATTTCAATTTATTTTAATTAGAATCTGAAGAAGTATATTTGAAGACCCACAGAAATAGAATATTCACAGTGTCACATGATGTGGTGTTTGTAATTGTTTTGGGTTCAATGAGCAAGTATCCCTTCAATCACATTGGATAATTTGCAATGTTCAATGTTTCTTGTGACCATGATAAATCCCTGTATTCTACTAAGTCGCTTACCCATAAGGCTAACCCTAAAATGAGTCCACAGCCTGTTCTTAATACTAATTTGTTAATGGGAAGTGGAAATGATGCAACATATGACTGAAATGGGTGTAGGCATCAATGGGAAGAATTAAAAAGTACTATTGCCAATCCCCAATCACACTGATATATTGAATATTTTTTCAATTATTCAAGTTATTAGATGGAAATTCAGAAAACGGTTGGTGTGAAATTTACAAATAGGCTTATTCATGATCAGGAATGGCAAAAAAGCTATCATTGTGGTGTTCAAATCATATCTCTTGTGTAACTACAAATCAACATTGTAGAGGTTGTGTCGTGGTCGAGTGGATATGTCACCAGACTGTGGATCACAAGGTCCGTGGTTCGAGTCCCGCCGCTGCACTAATGTCCTTTGGCAAGACATTAATATACATTTGGCACACTTAATCCAGGCGAGGTAAATGGGTACCTAAATGTCATTATTATTATTATTTATGTAACCCTTATAAACAGATTTCTCAATCTAAATATGTTCAGTCAAGTTCAGCCTGAAGGGTATATAATTCCACCTGAAAAAAATACCCCACTCCCATTGGGGAAGTACTTTATCTTAAAAAAATACATTAGCCCCCTGATGGGACAACATCTTATTCAAACATTAAAGTTTGAACAATTTAGTCAAAATACATTGAAATTCATGTTCTTAAACACGATTGAAAATGATAAGGGGGCTCCAGGAAAGTGCAAACCGGTTTGGCGGGAGGCGGAAATCGTGCCACTTGTCAGCGCCACAGAGGGATAGAGAGCAGGCCCAAGAATATGATTATGATTGCATTAGTCAAGGGGATGACAGAAGGGAGAATATCTTCGTGCAGGAATGAGTTGCTGGGTGTTAGGGTGAAGTGCCTTTAATACCCTGGCCGTGACATTGGCAAGGCAATGCTCTCGCCCTGCCTGTCACTTGTCGTTATGTTCGACATCCAAACCCCCTTTGGCTTGTTTGCTCCAGAGTTTACATTCCAGCATCACTTCCTTTCCTCCGTGGTTGTACGCTCAGGAATGTTCTTCCGTAATTGGCAAATTTGTACACTGTTTCTCTTACATCTATCATCTACATTGTAAAAATAACATAGAGGATGTACTAGAAGCATTAGTTATAATCCATCAGTGATCAATTTCAAATCAATGACATCACCAAAAAGTTGTAATTGCAAGTATGAACTGATTTGAGATGTCTAACCTTAGCATCTCTGTTGTAACAAGTGGAAGTTTAGAGGGCAATGGCGTAAAACAGTTGACCATTGATGATCTAAAATACTTCTTATAATTGTTCAGAAAGAAATAAGGACTGAAGATTCAGGTCATTATAAGCTGACAACTTTATTAAGTAAATGCCTTATTTTGGTATTAAAACATGCAGGCACACAAGTCACATACCTGTATTATGAAGTTGTGTGAATACATTTGAATATAGGCAGACATTCTAAGAAGAGAAAAAGATACAATAGAATGTGATGCAATCTTTGCCTAAACATCTGAAGATTGATGATAAAGGGTATCTACTTTGACACAAAGTTTTAAGATGTCATAAAATATCTTATCATTCATCTCAAAGGATCTCTAAGGAATGAAAGATGAAGAAAGACACATATGATGATGTAAAAGCATTCTTTTATCCATTTCATCATGAAACTACGCACGTGCCCTATCTTAGATCAATAAAGCCCCCCCCCCCTATTTTATTTCTGATCAGTTTTGACATGATCAGGAAGAGCGGAGCCAACCCAGGATAAACTCATGTTCAGAAACATCACTTTCAGTCACCCTTGCATTATTCCTGAGCATCACGTACCTCGGATCGGATTCATAAATCGTTTGTTTTGGGAACATTTGAAGAATAAAATTTGAAGGGGAAATTGTCATAAGGAAGGATGAAAGTTCCTTGATATTTCCTCCTCAGGGAGGATAAGAGAAAATAGATCTATTTTAGCCCCTCTGGAAAAGATTTTGATCTGGATACATGAGTTGGGACCAAAAGTTTATGCACTTTTCTTTTAAAAGCTCTCCACACCTCTCATGTATGTTTCATCATTTGATGATAATTATGGGTATATGCACAAACCTGTACACCTATTAGTATAATGTCATTTATTATTCATTTCATAATTTGTTTATGTCTACATTTTTGTTTGTTTTTGAGAACAGGAATTCTGAGGTTACAAAATCTTTGTGTTGAAAACCTTACAAATCGTCCTTGTTTTCACGAAGTGACGGTAGTGAGGAAAATCGTCACGCAAAGTGAATGCAATTTTTTTTCACTACCGTCACTTCGTG